GATCAGAGGGAGAAGCAGACTCCCTGCCGAGCAGGGAGCCCGATGCGGGACTCGATCCTGGGACTCCAGGATCATGACCTGAGCCGAAGGCAGTCAGTCGCTTAACCAACTGAGCCAGCCAGGCGCCCCCCCATAAGTTTTTAAAAGGATGATTATGTAGCTGATTTCCAGCAGAAACAAAGTGAATGGCCACCCAAGTGATGGCTGAAGGAGACATACTAATATCACACTGCAAAATAACATGGCAGAGGACACGGGTCCACGGAGGCGGACAGAGTTGGGGCCAAATGATACGTCTCCTCCCCCACCCCCTCCCACCTGCACTCGCACCCCCACTCCCACCCCCCTCTCCCACCTCCACTTCCACCTCCACTCCCAACCCCTGCCCCTCTCCCCCCTCTACTCCCCTCCATCCCTCACCACCCACCTCACCCCCACCCCATTATCCGTGGGAGAATACCCGTTCTCAGTCAGTTACTTTGGGTGGGGCTTCAGTGTCCCCCCCCCCCGCTCCGGGGGAGCACGTGACAAGGCCTCGGCCAATCAGAGAACCGCATTGCCCTGGCTATGTGATTAGATCAGCGATGGGGACGGGACCCAGTCAGAACCAAGCAAGCACGCGGAACCCACCAACCGGGACAGGTCGCCTGGGACCCAGCCTCCTCTCTTTCCTGTTGGGCGTCGCTCTTGAGAGGATGGAAGGTGTGGTGGCTGGCAGCCATCCTACGCCATGAGGAGAGAGGGCGAAGTCCAGGAATAAGTCTTCCCTGAAGAAATAGAGCAGTTGGAGAGAGAAACCTATCCTGGTGTCAAAGTTGAAGCCTTTGCATTAAGCTACACCTGAAGTTGGTTCTATTTAGGGACTTTTTTTTTTCCCCCAAATCAGCCACTTTGAGTTGGGTTTCCTGTCGCTTGGGACCAAATGGGTCCTGGCGAATACTCTGGTAGTCTCAGCTTCAGAAGTGAGCATCCAGCCTCGGAAAGGCTCAGTGGCTTCTCTTGATCAAGGTCACTTGTTGGTCAGGAGATGCTGTAGGCAGGGCCCCAGAGATACGGGTGGCTTCAGGGGCCTTAGGGATTAAGTTTCTCTGGATATTAGTCAGAACTTCTTTATTTGCAGGCTACCAGACTCAAATGGATTTATGAGCACATATTGGCTCATGTGACTGGAAAACCTATTTATATCTAATTTCAGTCTTGGATCCTAGTGTTCAAATAATGTCATCAGATTCCTTTTCCCTTAATCTCTTGGCCCTGCTTCAGTCACTCTGTGTGGTTTTCATGCTTGGACAGAATCTACCTGTGTGGTGGCCAAGATGGCCACCAGCAGGTCCAGCCTTACATCGCACAAACTTAGCAAATCTAGTGAAAAGAGAACACTTTACCCCTAATAAGTGTAGAGAAAGGCCAGGACCTGCCTCGCTTGGGTTATATGTCCATGTCTGAGCCAAATGCTGTGGCTCAGGGGATGGAATGTGCTGGTTGACCAGACCTGGTCATGTGGCCATGCCACGGAACCAACCGGGGTTGGGGGCGGGGGTCAGCACCACCTGAACCACATGGATCAAGAACATGCAAGGGAAACTTGGGGTGCTATCAACTAAAAGGGGGGTGAAGGTGCAAAACAGGCAAAAATAGCAGATGTCTACTACCTCTTACACTATTCTTAGCATCCCGTGATCCTTATCACAACTGTAATTAAATATAACCCCAAATCCTCCGCCTTCTGCAGGCACCCCCTCTTTTCCTCTAACATCAAAATAGAATGACTTGAGCCCCCTTGCCACATATTAAGGACAACCAGGCCCCTCCAGGATCTCTCCGAGGATTTCCAAACTGGGGCTCACAGTCTCCTGAGTCAGGCCACGGCCAACCTCTTTTTCTTCTTCTTGTCTTTACTGAGGTAGGACTGACAAGTAAGAACTGTATATGCTTAAGGTGTACAACTTGGTGTTTTGAGATATGTGTACACTGTGAAATGGTCACCACAAGCTAATATATGTATCACCTCACATAGTTAGGGTTTGAGAGAGTGTGTGTGTGGCGGGAACACCTAAGGTAATGCTCTCTTAGCAAATTTCAAGTGTACAGTCCACGATTGTGGATTACACCGCCTACTTCTTTGGCTGCCTCTGTACACTCTTGGCCTTGGGAGCCGCCATACTCTTCTGCCCTTCTTTGGCTCCAAATGAAAGCCCCTCAATTTCTCCATTGACCTTAAAGCAAGGCTGGGTTGATGAACATTCTCCTCCCCTCAACTGCCAGTAAATAACTTGAAATTACTTTTCTTACACCCACATTTCCACCCTGAACCAGGCACTAGATGGGGGCGGGGGGTAAGGCTCTACATTTTTTTAGAGAGAAATGCTGTTTGGGGACTCTCTCCCTCAGTGATGTAAGTACGTTGAGTTGGCATCTCCTGCCCTGCGTGAAGGGTAGAATGGGACCCTGAGGCTGCCCCCCCTTTTTAAAAAGTATTTTATTTATTTGAGAGAGAGCGTGCATGTGAGAGAGAGCCTGAGTGAGGGGGTGGAGAGGGAGAAGCAGGCTCCCCGCTGAGCATGGAGCCCGACTGGGGGCCCGATCCCAGGACCCTGGGATCATGACCTGAGCCGAAGGCAGACGCTTCCATTTCAATATGCCTTGTCTTGGAATGCTTAGCAGTCACTGGCGAGTAGCTGGGAAAACTCGTGCAGGACTCAAGGAGCATGTTGGGAAAAAAGGGAGAATACAAAGAATACAATCCCTTCCCTTCTGAAGTTCACTGTTACTGGAACCTCTTTGATAGACTAAGTCTAGCCTGAAGACTATGGGCAGGAGAAGACACCAAGTGCCCTTGAGAAGGCACTAGCCAAGAGCAAGGGCAGGTGACCCAGGCTAAATGGAAGGACCCAAGGGTTGCAGGGGTTGCTTTGGCTCTGATATAGTGTGTGGGAGGGGCTGGAAACCCTTCTGGTCAAGTCCCTGGGGCCTGACCGAGCGTGGCGACAGGGCAGTTACGCAGTGATGCTAAGCGGCCGACAAGAGCAACAGTGGCGGAAAACCAATGCCCCCTAGTGGCAAGTCCTGGCATTATCTGACACACTGACAGTGCCAAGGTGATATTTGTACACCAAGGGGGGGAACCAGAGATACTGTTTGCATTTGTGGATTTCCCTTCCACCCCTTAATAATCCATTAAAGTGTTCTGTGAAGCCCCTGGGTGTCCAGTCTTATCGTTGAAGAGAAGTGGAAGATGGTTTGAAATGACAGTTTTTCTTTAACGTATCCTAGATAAAATTCTTGGGGACGAGTCCTTTCCCTTCTGATCTAGTTTGGGTGGATTTGTTTTTCTCTTTTCTTATTTTTTTTTTCCTATTTTTTTACCCCCACCCGCATTTCATGGATAATTATGTAATCGAATTAATGTCTATTTTCCTCTTCAGCAAGTAAGCTTCAGGGGCTAGGGATTGTTTGTCTTGTTTGTTGCTGGATCCTCGCCACCTAAAATAGTATTGGGCATTCATTCATTAAGCTGACAGATCATTAGGGAGTGTCTGTCCTGTGCCAGGCCCTCTCCTAGGCATTGGGGGTGTTGAGGGGATAGCAGTTTGCCAAACACTGACTGTTCTTTCGGAACTTCCGTGCTAGCGGACAGAGGTGGAGGACAAACATGGTATCGGGACTGGTGATGAGCGCTCAGGGTAAGGGGCTTCTGCTCCAGGAAGTCTTCTCTGATCGCTTGATATTTGAGCAGGGACCTGAAGAACAGGAGGGAGGCAGGAGGGAGGCGGGAGATTTGGGAGAGTTCCAGGGAGAGGTACAGGCCCTGAGGGGAGAGCATGCTGGGTGATCCTGGGGCCAGGGGGGAGGGGAGGTGGGGGTGGGGTGGGACCTTGGAGGCCACCCTAAGGACTTCAGCCTTGATTGGGTGGCATAAGGAGCTATCGAAGGGTCTGGAACAGAAGGAAAGGTCTTATCTATGAGACGGTAATAAATTCTTGCTGAATGAATGTGGAATCATGAAACTCCTTACAGCCCAGCCCAGCCCCCCGACCTTCAGCACTCCATTTTGCCTTTAACTCTGCCCCTTCAGCTTCTTCCCACCCAGCCATGCCCCGCTGCCCAGAGAACTCCGAATCCTCTGGTTTTCTGTCTTTGGTGAGCTCCTGACACCCCCAAACTTGATGAGCTTCCCAGTTACGTACTTTCCCAGCAGCCAGCCTTAAATGTGGGTTATGTCTGTCTCCATCATTCCATTGCTGGCTGCCTGAGGACAGGACACCATCTGGCCTGCTCACTGCTGTATCCCGGGTGGGACGCAGAATGTGCTCGGTAAATATTTGCTGGGTGACGACTGGGTAAATCAGCCTACTCTGTTCCTCTGGGCTTTGGCTTCTATTTTCTGCCCAGTCTGAGGGCTCCAAGCTGAACCTGGACATCGGGCCAGGGACGAGTTGCTGCCCCTTCCCTCCCAGAACCTGGTCCTTGTTCCTGTGGCCTTCAAGCCTCCTCTAGGTCTGAAGTAACTGCTCTCAGACTCCGCAGACCCCACTTTAGAACATCTGTCAAGCTTTCAGCTCAAGAATAATTGTGTGCCCCACTCCCTACTCTGTCGGTATTCTGAGACAAGACAGCCACTCAGTGGTAATTTTTCTAGACTTTATTTTATAGCAATTGTCATGATTAGAGAAGTAAATAACACATTTAAAAACCTTCTCAGGGCCAAAGGATGCCAGAGTATTTACAAACACATGGTGGGGAGGGGCGGTGGCAAGACATGAGGGGCTGGGGCTCGGGAACTGGGGTTCTGCCCAGGCCCTGAGCCAGGCTTGGACACAGAGGCTAGTCACCACGACTGTCCCACCAGCAACGGCACAGGCTCAGGGAGTATTGGCAGCATTGGGGCTCTCTCAGTGGGCCTGATGGGAGGCCCTCTAGATAACCTGTGGCCCTGCCTCCCGCCCAGGGGGCTCCCCACACCCCACAGGCCAGCTCAGAGGGGCCTCTGGGAAGCACCGAAGGACAGGGGCAGTGTGGGGGCACAGGGGCTGGGACAGAGATCGGGGATGACCCAGCCTGCCCAGGGTGGGACAGAGAGAGAGAGAGAGAGAGAGAGAGAGAAACACACACACACACACATACACACAGCTTCACAGAAGAATCAAAAGAGGAAGATTTTTTGTGTGTTGTCTTCTAAGTCTTCATGTCTACGGTGTGATTAATTTTTTGCTATTTGTTTCTTCGACAGTGACATAAACTGAGGTAAACATCAGTGACCAACACCTCTCCTAAGGGGCAAAGGGTCCCAACCCAAGTAGCAGAGGTGGCAGCAACAGCAGCAGCAGGGCCCCGACGGCGAGGGAGCGGGCCTGGCCCGGTTCCGCTCAGGTGTGGGCGGTCGCTGCCCCTCCCTGTGCCTCTGAACACAGGCGCTGGGCTACAGAACTACAGGCCCCTTTCCAGCTCTAACATTCTAGATACTACGACGAGGGAGAAACTCCCAAATAGGATCTTAACAGAGAAAGAGAGAGAGGGGGCGCACGGCGAGGGACATCTACTTGGAATCTTGCGTCCGTGTTATTGCAGGAGAGACAGGATGTCGAGAGGCCTAAGGCAAAAGGAGAAGTCGCGGCTGGGAGAGAGAGGTGGCCCGGATGGGCTCCAGGTGGGCCGGGGGCAGTGATGGGGGGCCCTTCTCTGAAACGTGGCCCTTGGTGGGAGGAGGGATTGCTACTTACCTGGCGCGTGGAGGGCCCCAGGGCCCAGGGCAGAGGAGGGCTCGGGAGGGGCGGGCACACTGAGGGGGGCGGGGCCAGGCCCTGGGGCAAACCGCACGCTGTTTGTAAACTGGACCCAGGCAGGGCAGGGGGACCTATAGCCCTTTTGCGCGGTGGGAATGAGGGATGAGCGGAGAGAGGTGGGGGCTCCAGGCCAGAGGGTGGTTGGGCCCTCTCTGGTCAGCCGGGCTCCTTGGAGAGCCCCCTCCAACGGCCTGGAGCCCCGGTAGGACCCTGGCAGGTGTGGCCCGGGATGGCTGAGGGGCCCCTGCCAGGCAGAAGGAGCGGCCTCACCCATGTCGAGGTTATTGCGGGGTCCCGGGCCTCCACAGCGAGGGCAGGGGTCACGAGGGAACACTGGGTGAGGTTGGGTTCCGGTTTTGCTGCCTCGGGGCCTGAACCCACCTGCAGTGCCTCCTGGCCAGATTCCCTGAGGGGCGCGTGGTGAAGCACGGGCCTGGACACCCGCTGGCAACTGCCTGGGGAGGACCCTGGGGCCGGGCGGAGTTTCGGAGGCGTCTGGATGCCATCGCTGGACACACGAGACTACACGCAAACGCGGGCACTCGACTCACACTCACGCCGCACACACACCTATTCGCGCACTCACCCCCCTCGCGTTTCCATGGACCCCCAGCCTCATTCCCACAGCATCCTCACACCCACAGCAGCCCACTCCAGTACCAGGAAGCTGGGAGACGTGGGGATGGGGGCAGCCCGGAGCTGACATGCAGGTCCCCAGCAGAAACCCAGGGAAATTCCTGGCACAGATCACCTCTGTGTCTGGGCTCGGGGATCTGAGGTTCCGGGGTCGGGGAAGGTGCGGCCAGCTGGGGGGAGCTGGGCTGGCCCTGGGCTCTGTACTCACACCTGTCGCCCTGGGGATGCTGGGCCGCCACCCTGGCAGCCCTTCCCTTGGCGAGTTTGCGGGACAATTCATGGGGAGGCAGGGGAGGGCTTCTAGAGCTCCACCTCTCAGGGTCCCTGCAGCTCGGGGGCAAGCTGCCCTCTTTCGGGGCTCAGTGTCCTCATCTCGGGGGAATGGGTTGTGGGGGTTACTAGATTCTTCGGGCTTGTAGCTGCGCGGGCACACACACACACACACACACACACACACACACACACACTTTTGCCACATCCAGACATTTGCTACATTTTGCAGAGGGCTTGGCCTCTCCCGTATAGCCTCCCAGGAAAGGGCCAGGGCGCAGCTGAGCAACACGCCTGCCCTCAGCTCGTCGCCCTCCCCCTAGCCAGCATCCGAGGGCCCTAAGTAGCCCCTTCTTTGCCCCAACACTTCCGTCCCCTTCTGTGTCCGGGTGCGGGGAGGGTGCGGAGGGAGCGGCCAGGAGGAAGGACCAGGGGTGGGGCTGCGGGATGATGGGCCAGGGGGTGCAAAGGGCTAGGAGCAACTAGTCAGGGTCGCAGGGGTAGGGGAGGTGTGTGTGTGTGTTTTGGGGAGGGGAGTCTGCCCGCAAGCTCCCTCGCTCCGGGTGTCAGGGGTGCCTCTGAATCCTCGGGTCTGCGGGGCTCGGCTCCTGTGAGCCAAGCCCCCGCCCCACAGGCGGGGCAAGAGGTCTTTCGGTGGCTATCGCCGCAGCCCGCCGCGGACCAGGCGCCCGGGCCCGCCGCCCCGCCCAGCC